TATATATATATATATATATATATATATATATATATAACTGGAAAAAATAATCACTCGTTTGTCACTAAGTGATTGCGCTTCCCCGTGCAAGAGTGCGTGAAAAGTAAGTCACTCGGTGGCCCGTACGTCGTTCGTATTATATGACGTCCTCCGAGAGAATGTGGTAATGCTGAGGATCGTTCGTCTGATGATCCGGAGGGCAGAGGAAAAACTCGATGAAGTTAAGCACAGGCCCGCGACTGAAGGGGTTCAGGTATTTACCCCTCTTGTCCCTCAGGTACGAATACCTCTTGTAATTGAACATCTCGTTGGTAGTCAGATTCATGCAGGCGTGTAAGACCTGCATTAAAAGAAGAAAAGAATTCGGCAATGGGACATTCGCGTGTCGGAAACGCGATGTCGACGTTCTCGTCGCACTGTATTTACCGATGTGCACGTCAGGATCCAGCCGAGGCCGCAGAAGACGAGCGCCTCTAACACGCCGAGGACGTACAGCAGTTGAATCCCCTCGATTGCGATGCAGTAGCACGCGAAGTACAAGGTGAAAGAGCAGTTTATCGCCACGCACATCACGAACAGGAAGAACCACATTCTGGAAAGAGGAATGAGAGGAATGGTAAAGAGAGGTACGTTAGAAAGTTGAACGGGAGCGAACAGTATCGTGCGACTTGTTTCTCGCACCTGTTCCTCAGACCGACGCAATTGTATATGAAAGGACAGTGATGATCGAAATACGTGACGCATCTGTTGCAGATTCTGCAGTGCTTAGCCCGGAGCGGCCGGAAACACCTGCAGCTGTGACACAGGCGCGACAGCAAGACGTTCCGTTTCTTCCACTTGTCGAAGTACGGAATCTGAAACGGGGTAAAAAAAAAACGGTACGAACTTTTGCAGCAATCCAATACAGTCGCGTTTCACGCCGGATTTTATACCTGTTTTATCGCCCTATAGTAGGTGTCGCTATTCTGCGGCACGTAACCCGGATCTCTCCTGTTGGCGACGATCCACGAGATCCACATGAGGATGTTCCAGTAGATGAAACAGTAGTGGCTGCCGCGCAGGAGGTTCCACGTCAGCGGAATGCACTTCAACAGGTACATCGGGTATCCCCACACCAGCACGGATATCATGAACAGCAGCAGTGGTCCTTTGCTGTTGCCCGCTCCGCCGAAGAGCAGCGCCCTTGAAGTGAAACGTCCGAAAATACGTTTAGCTGCTTTCACATCTCATCGAACATATTCGAGCATCCCGGAGAAGGTGGCTTTGATCATACGTGAGCACGCACCATAACTCATTGATAGGTGGTATCCATCTAGCCCTGCGCTTTTGTTCCGCTTGCAGGATGCGCACGATCTCCGAGTGGCGATGACTCTTAGCCAACTGCAGCGGCGTCTTGCCGTTCTTGTCGCGCGGTTCCAGCTCGATCTTGCTCTTCTCGCAGAGGATCCGGACGCAGCTGATGTTGCCGGACAGGCAAGCCAAGTGGAGCGGCGTCGAGCCGAAATAATCGGGCTTCTGCAAGTCCACCCCGCTGTACATCAGCAGCTTGATCAGCTCGGCGTGACCCTTGTACGCGGCCCAGTGCAACGCGGTGTCGCCATTTATGTCAGTCAAGTGGCCTAACGCACCGGATCCCAGCAGAAAGGCGGCGGTCGCGAACTTGCCGAACATGCAGGCGGTCATCAGAGGCGTCAGACCCTTGAAGTCGGCCGCGTTGACGGCGACTCCAGCCTGAAATGAACGCCCAACGCTGTGAGATTATACGAGAGAGAGAGAGAGGAAGATTCTGTTGCGTTTCCGATTTTGGGGACCATTTTTGGCGTGTACCTTTAGTAATAATTGCACTATCGCGCTGTGACCTTTCCGACAAGCCCAATGTATCGGCCTGGGTCCTTGCGTGCCGAGACACGGTAGATCGACGGGTCCACTGCGCTCTATTAAATATCTCATGACCTGTCGAAGAAAGCGGTTTTGTCTTAAGTGTACTCTGGTAGTTCTAAGAGCCGTCTACAATAGCCGTGAAGTATGCAATAAGACATAAACAGTGAACTAATTGACCAACCACGATTTATTTTTGGAATGTATGGATCGAATTGGCCAATTAGCTTACTGCTTGTGTCTTACTGCATACTTTATTATTGTAGACGACTCTTTAAGAAATGTTAGGATTAATGATCACAGTGCTCGAGACTAACTTCAATATTGCCGTCCAAGGCGGCCCAATGAGCAGGTGTGTATCCCCATTCATCCCTCGCGCTGAGCAGGCTCAATCCATTCTTCTCCACTAGTTCCTCGACCGCCTCGATTTCGCTGTAATGCAAACAATCCCTTTTTGCTTTTCCGTCCGGTATTCTCTCATCGAATTTTTAAGCAAGTTAATATTCTTCTCGCCGGCATTCGCTCTTTCTTTTTTTAGTAACGACATGATGCGAAATTACTGATTTTACTGAACGAAATTTGTTTAGATTCTTTTCAGGATGATTGTATCTAACCTGGCTCTGAGTAGCTCGAAGATCTGTTTGGTCTCGTCGGTGGGACTCTGGCCGGTGGTAGTTTCATCGGCGTAAATGTTGTCATCAGGACGGCTCCTCTGTCGCGAATCCTTGTCCGAGCCATGATGATTCTGCTGGCTCGCGTTGGATATCGGATTGTTCGGTAGATGCCCGACCATGTCGGGATCGGGACTTAGCTCCCATACGGATCGTGCCGCACCAGGCCCTGCTACAGGGCTCACAGGATACACCTGTAAGGAGACGCGAGATGTGACTACTCTTGCAGAGGAAAAGTAAACGATTATCGTCAAAGCAGGATAGTATCGTGAGCCGAAAAGAATTTTGATAAGTTTCGATGATTATAAAAATTAACATTTTTTTCTCATTTCTGGAAGATGAAAGTTTAAAAAAAGAATCGAATAAGTTATTAAAAGTATCCACGCGCGACTTTTTAGGTAAATACCCGGGACTGAAAGAAAAATTGTCAACGATACAGAGAGACGAGAGCTCACTTTTTTTAATTTTCGAATGTTTGAATCGTGTCTCACCTTGCACAGCGTCGCGAGTTCGGTGTTCGCACGCTCGTGTTCGGAAGGCGTTCTGAAGGATGCACCCTGCGTGGCGATCGCTCCACCCTCCGGGACGGTTAGTCACAAGGAAACGTTGGGCCCAACCATGTCTTCCGAGCCTCGCTTGACGGCACAGCTTTCCCTCCAGACCTGAAAGCCCTGAAGGCGTTAGGTTCCTACTGTCGGTGCTCCTGTCCAGCGTTCCTCCTTCACGCGACGAGCGACGTCCGCATTTCTGAGAATACCGTCGACAATCACGGGCGTTGCGCATTCGAATCAATAACGCGGTGACCGCAGAAACGCCTGCGTGCGAGGAACGCGCGAGAAATTAGGACGCGCCGCTTGTTCGCGCGATACATATTTCAATATATCGATAGGCTGCCGTTCGCGAAACGGCTCTATCGCCCGGAACGAATTCGAAAGAACACCCAGCGAAATTTTCAACAAGAAATTAAAATTTGGTATAACGTTCAATTAATTCTCAGTCATCAGATACTGTCACCCGAGATCTACATATTTCGAAACCATCTTAAAATTGTTTTACTCGGAGTTGTGTGCAAGGTCATGCATTTGCGTCACTCGATTCGCAATAAATCCCTCACTTCGATTGTTTACACGTCAGTGATAAGATAACTTGTATATAACAAAAAAGGCGATCCATACGCAATATTAACTGGATAGTTCTCTGGAACTATTTACGTGTCTTAATTTGTTTTTGAATGTGTGTCACAATCTGAGAATGTCTCAAACGTTTATAATTAATAAATACCCAGATGTGTGTATTTATTATTCATGATAATCTTTAAAATCATTGTTTTATCAATTTTTAGGTTTGTTAGTTCTTGAGATTTATGCTTGTTTCTACTATCATGATTTAAATTTAATCTACGATTAACTTCAATGAAATTGGCCAATTAGCTGAACTGATTAATGCGACTAGTCTATTCCGTTGAATTGATTGTCAATTAGATTTAAACTATGATGATAGAAACGGACATCAGAAAGAGAACGAGTTCCTTTTATTTTTTATAGATTTTCAGATATATATACATATACAAATATTATTTTATTATTAGATATAGTTAATCTATATTTAAACTGTTGTTCGGACGGGATGTTGAAAAATAAAGTTCTTGTGATTCACTATTGAGCCGTATTATTCAAAGATGCAAATCTCGTGATCCATAGTTAAGTTGTACTACTTGAAAATAAATTCTGACTTATTCTTAAGCTATACTACGACCTCGATTCTTAGCATTAAATGAAATTTATTCCATCTTCGATAATAAGATTTCATTTATCTTTATTTAGCTAAGGAAAAAGACAATTTGCAGAGTAGACTTTTGCCGATATTTATAGTCGGACCTTATATTGAAGGCTTCCTTAAATTCATCTTCAAATACTTATTTCATTGGCTGTGAAGCATCTGAAGATAAATTTAAGGAAGCTTTAAATATAAGGTCCGACTATTAATACAGGTATTTGAAAATAATTTATAATATCACTTGCAAAGAACGGATCTAATAGTTTCTGCGCATAAAATGTGACAACCGTTTCCGTACTTTGTGTGCAGAAGCCAAAAAGATTATTATATAGTCACGGACAAAAAGATTATCGCATTCCCTAGGCATAGTGATATCGGAAGTTTCAAATTAGTCGCATCTGATTGGTGAAAACTTTTAATCTTGGTTAACCAACCACTGGATAATAAATGAAATTTCTTTGTCCATCATCACAGGCAACAATCACGTGTTGTGACCAATTGAGATTTACGGATAAATGTTATATGTACATTGGTTTATACCTCTTGATTTAACATTATATATTGTATGAATAAAGAGGAAACAACCTGAAGCAATTGTTAGATAAATATTTAATATATCAACATTAAAATGGCGGAATGTGGATTTACTTCATTGAACGGATTTAAATTGGCGTAAGTTGACATAAACTTATAATATATTTACATTATATGAAGCCGCATTGTTATCCTAATCATTTGTTTATTGTTTTAGAGACTTACTATCCAATGATGGAGTTATGTTTGAAATTGGAGAACCAATATGCGATGAGGATGAAGAGTTTGGATATACTCCATTTGCACAATACAGCAATGAGGAGATATTAAATATGTTAAACATGAACGATTTTGAAAATGATGAAGATAAAGAACAAGAAGCTGTACTTATTTATGGTATAAGCTTTGACAAGTTAAAAACTAAAATGACAAATTTGACTTCAGATGGAAAGGTAAACGACTTCTTATAGTATTTATTAAAAAATTATTCAAATTATTTTTGGTAAAACTCCATCTTAACGTATCCTCTCTCAGATGACTTCGACTTTGACATATGTTGAAAATGTTATGGCTCTGAGTAAAGGCTTTAAAAGGTTTTAGCCACCGTTCATTATTTATTTAGAAGTTATTAACAGAAAAAGTTTGAACTGTTAGTAACAGAATATTGTGAATATTCGTGGAATTATGGAATTCTTGAATATTAGTGGAAGCACCTATATAAGGTTTAGGATCTAAACTTTGAAATTATTCCACCTCCATGAGTCTCGCTTCCTAATCGGTGCTCTAGTTGTGAACTTGCTCCAAGATACTTATGATTCTTGTGCTTTTACAGCTTTTCTTATTATAAAAGAAGTCGCGATATGAAATAGAAAGGGTTTTAGTGTAAGACAAAAGATTTAACTGTCAATAACCAGAACTCAAATTTCTTTTGTTAACAACTTTTTAATAGTCCATAAATGACTAAAACCTTCGGTAAGTTACTCAAGGCCATAACCTTCACAACATATAACATACATTTCTAAAATAACCTTAACCATACATATGGGTTATTCTAAGTTATTCTAGGGATGAATGTTAATATGAAGTTTTCTTTTTCTTGTAAAGTGAATAATCACCATATTGATAGTCGTGGAAAAATTGCAAGTGTAAATTTAATAATAAAACTATCGTTCAATCAGGTGATGAAATTTATTAAACAGAAAGGTGTTGGAGAAGTCATACCCAATAATGCTCAGGTTACCATTCATTATTTGGGATACTTGGAAGATAATGACGAACCTTTTGATTCTACATATATTTGTGGAAAACCAAAAACATTGCGTCTAGAACAGGGCATGGTTATACCTGGTTTAGAACTAGGTATAGCTAGTATGCGGAAGCATGAGATCTCAGTGTTCTGGTTACATCCTGACTATGCCTACAAAGCTATTGGCTGTCAACCGCGCATCCCTCCTAATGCGGAAATAGTATTCATTGTCCATTTAATTGATTTTATTGACAACGGCTCTGCGGATACGTATTACAATCTCAGCTTGGAGGATAAACAGTCATTTCCACATGTAGTAGAATCTGTCATGCATAGATTTGCAACTGCCAAAGACCATTTTGCGAAGCAACGTTACAAAACAGCAATACGAGAGTGAGTGAGTAATAGATGTTCTAAGAACTCCACTCATTATATAATCATACGTTTTTCTTCTTGTAGATATAAAAAAATTACTGACTGTCTAGAAATAGTAAAGTTGAAGGATAATGCAGAAGAGCATGAAATGAAGAAATTACTCTCCAAGGCTTATACTAATCTCGGGGTTTGCTTCAACAAGATCGATATGCCACGCAATGCTTGCGCGTATTGTTTCCGGGTGCCTTTTCCAACAGTCAAAACTCATTATACGTATGTTATATTAATAAATGAAACAACTGTTTGTACAAATTATACGTGAATCAAATCAAATTAATATTATGATGAGACTTTTTTTATATATTTCTCTCAGTTTCGGCCAAGCTCTGCTAAGAATCGCAGAATATGACGAAGCAATGAAGGAGTTGCAGAAAGCTTACAAGTTAGACCCGCATGATGCGTATATTAAGAAAGCAATTCAACAAGTGAGTCGTGGATTGTTCTACTAGAATAATTTTTTAATAATATCTCGATGTATTTATGTACTTTTTGTAGACGAACATGAAACAGCGCCGATATCTGGAGATTGAGAAACGTTTGTGGAAAAATTGCTTCAAGTCTGAGAAGAACAAAACCAAAGCCACTGAATTCCGACAAGCCGCACGCGAATTATGCGAGTCGGTGCAAAACAATATATTGAGACAATCTCTCCCTGAAGGTTTTACGGAGGAAGAGCTTGAAATCATACGTGAAGAAGCTGCTGCATCAGGACTGAGCATCGTTAAGCATATAAGATACGGCAAAGAGGTCATATACATTCAGAAGAACAATGCGTGAATTTATACCGTCAAGTTTGAACATTAATCTTCTCTGAGTTTATTATTATATTATCTAAGTTTATTAATAATCTCGATTGCTTCTCTCTGTCACGTCTTATATGAAGCGTTAATTTTGTATTACAACAGCGATCGCGTCGTTTATTATAGATACTACTGATTGATATATATTTCACGTTTACATTAGTGTAATCTTAAAAAAAATTGTTTTTAAAGCAATATTCACATTTATCGAAATAACTTAAAATTGGCCGAATTCTGTTTTATATATTTATATATTTCAACATTAGACTTTCCAACTAGAGTCTTGGAACTACATTTGAGTTTCATGCAGAACCATATGCATAATTTTGTTTAGAAATAGCAAACTATACACTCAATCTCAATGCAAGTTTTAGAAGAAAGCCGCTGTAGTAGCGTTTCGTCTTAAAAAAAAAAATAGATTAGTAGGAACCCAAAGAACATTAAGACGTCGTAAAGACGTTTTTGAGACAATAAGATAAAGAATATTTCTAAAACATCTTTTAGACATACATACACATATATATTGTGAAAGAAGCCACTACAGTAATCTATAGTAGTCAAATGTAGTAATCAAAGGGTTATATACATAAATACTGTACAGGAATGAGGAATAACGCGTTACTTGTAACGCTCTTATCGTTCTCATTCTCTTTCTTCAATAACGATTTAGTAACGATGTTATATTTTTTCATTAGTAACGGTAACCATAACACAGTTATGGTTACTATACTATTATATTTATTAGATGAGGTAACAAATATTGTTACTTTGCACACGTATAATATATATGGAAAGAGTACACGCGAATCCTAAAGAAGACCTTCAAACTTGATAAAAAAGTAACGAAAATTGTGACGACTAGTTACTTTTTAAGTAACGATAACGAATTACTTTTCAAAAATAATTTCTAAAAATAATTTCTAACTGGGCTATATAATAAATATAAATCAATACATATATTTTGTACGCCTTTGTACAGAACGCTGCGTATATCACTTATTTATTTTTTACTAAGCATGTCGTTCAGGAAAAATATACGAATATACATCAATCGGATACATACAAATCATATATCTATATCACTAAAGAAGATATTACAAGCTAAAATAAAATAATATTAAATAATCTTAAGATAATATAATTTGATATTTTTTTATCATCTCGTTTGTATATTTTCTATTTTTCTAACGTTTATAAATAAAACAAGTAAAGTTTTTTTAAATATGCCTATGTACATATATGTATAATCAACGTGCGCACCACAGACATATGTGTGAGAGAAAAAAACAGGCCTAAGGTCTAATATAAGAAGAAGAAGAAGAAGAAGAAATAAAGTGTTTTACAAAAATTCTCAATCGTCTATATTTGACCAATTCTACAAAGGCGGGATAGCAAAATCGATACGCTTAAGATAGAGTAAACAAACGCCGGATGTTCGTAAAGCGGTCATTATTTTTCTAATTTGGTATTGACAATAAAATATAATGGATCGAATGATATAAGATTTCAGTTTATGTAACGTTAAAGTATATAAAGAATCGTCCGCCTGCAACGTAAAAGAGTGCAAGGATGGCTTTTGTCACAACGTTCTGCGCGTTTTTATCTTTAAGTAATTCAGTTCTCTTCGTATTTGTATTTCTAAATTTATTTTAAAAAATACCAAAGACCGTGTTACGTAAAAAGAGGCATCGTATATTTTCACGTTATATGTTATCTACATTTTCAGGTGTGCCTCTCAATATGGCTCAACTTGTGGGTCGTCGACTACCTTTACAAAACTTTCAAGATTTCCATCCGGAAGATGGTCTTTTGGACATTTTCCTGAACCCGACACCGATCATTTCAAATGATCACGCGCTGCTCGGCGCTATTCTCGACTTGGATTTCAAAGCGGAGGACGTGACTTACGATCTTTACACCAAGGATAACAAGGAGCAAGCTATCCCCTTACGAACAGGTGACATCGTCCAGCTGAAAAACTCCCCGTTTAATCCCGAATGGCCGACCAAGATCATTATTCACGGATGGATAGAAAACGGAGATACGTTTTGGTATCACGACATTCGACGGAATTACCTTAGCATCGGAGATTACAACATAATTTGCGTGAACTGGTTCCCGGGCGCGAACAAAGAGTACCTAACATCCGTTAGACTCACTCGTCAGGTGAACGGACAAACTTTGTGCATCCTACAAAAAATAATCGAGTGGATGAGACGAATCACCACTGAAGTACCACGCGTATTAACGAAACAAACGAATGTGAAATCAAGAAATCGGGAAATTCGTGTTTACAGGTGGGAGAATACGTAGCTGCGTTTCTGGAATTCCTCGGATCGGAAGCGCAGGTCTCTTTCGACGACATCCACATTTTAGGACACAGTCTGGGCTCTCACGTAGCCGGAAACGTAGGTAGTTTCTCATCGAAGAAACTCGGCCGAATCACCGGTCTCGATCCGGCTAGGCCAGCGTATGAAACGCCTTATCTGAAGGACACGGAGGATCGACTGGACACCACGGATGCGAATTTCGTGGATGTCATCCACACCTGCGCCGGCGGCTTAGGCTTCGTCAGGCCGATCGGCCACGTGGACTTTTATCCAAACGGGGGAACGTTTAGGCAACCCGGGTGCCCAGTATTTTCAGCCCGTACGGCGTTTTAAATGCTCATATTTTAGTTTTGTGATGTGATAGCTACAGACTGATAAATCTCGTGTTTATGTTTAGAGTCTTGCAGCCACGGCAGGTCGCACCAATTTTTCACCGAGTCCATCGTACGTCCCGATGCTTTCGTCGCGATACAATGCGTCAATTGGATGGACTTCCAGTTGGGCAAATGCAACAGTAATACCACCGCCATCATGGGCGAATTCACCAGCGCTGACACTCAAGGTACCTTTTACCTGGAAACCAATGCACAGTCACCGTTCGGAAGAGGCGAGATATAACGAGAGAGGCGAGGGGAAGTTTAGGAGAGACTTCGCACATTTATATATATTACACGCTTATATATGTTTTATTAATTATCTGTACCGCGGGAGGAAACGTACAAAAGAGTAAAAAGTATCTTATCTACATGGAACACTTATTACAAATACATCACGATATAAAATAGAACGATGATAAAAAGTGACGTGTGTTATGTTAAAAGTTATACTCGACGATGGGATACGTCGGGTAAAACTCGACTGTTTAAACTACTGCAGCAAGCGTTGCCTCTCCGTCGGACGGTTTCTCGATTTCATCTCCGAATCGCACGCGGTACTTCCGACGCACTATGTCCCAGTCGACGACATTTTCTATTCTTGGAACGTTGCTCAAGGACCACTGACTGTCAGCCGGGCTCGTTTGAAGTAATGAGAAATTAATATTGCCCTTTGCTCGTGATGTTGGAAGTATTCTATTATTCTAAAAACAAGAAGGTGCATTCGCAAAAATGCCTGCGAGAGAACGGTAAAAATGCATTGAAAATTTCTACGTACGGTAGATTTCGCAAAATCGTTCTGATGCGTACTAGGCTCCATGTATCCACGTAATCTGTCAGTATTCTGCTTTGTAGTTCGTTCCTTTCTACAAGTTTTTTTAATATACACCACCCACGTGGTGACGAGATTCAATGGCGACGGGGCACTTTTTGTTCTTTAAAAGAGAGAATTAAAAGTAAGTGTGATGATGAAACTCCGCGAATTTTTAACTATAACTTCATTGCAAATATTTTCGCAGGATATCGTGTGCGTATGTGCGTATGTGTGTGTGTGTGTGTGTGTCACGACTGCATCTACTCACTTTTGCATTTTGCGAACCAGTTTGCTGAGACCGTACTTCCACTCGATATCGCTCTGCGATTGAATGTTGTGATACGTGTCGCTCATCATAGCAATCAGTAGATTAATCAGTACTATGACACTGACGAGCATATACAGAGAGAATGACACCTGTTGAAGTGACAAGAAATATTCGTTACATTTCACAGATATAAGATATAATATAAGATGTCAAATGGTTCTGTTGAAAAGTTATATCGCGGAGGAAGTCTTCTTATTTTAATCTATCACCACTTTCGTCGCTGCAAGTCACAACCACTACAATTTTCAACCGACATCGTTCTCTCAACGGTGGTAAAAGGGATACATGAACGCGTACGGGATCACGCCCTGAGAGGAGATTACTTTTCTTTTCACGTCCCTCATCTCTCTTTAGTATCCAGGTAGAAATACGATCACATTTTATCACAATATAATGGCATACTGTCACTTCAACTTAAAGACCTTTTTGAATGACATCTGAGCAGCATATGCACCTGTTTATTTATATATTTATATTTTATATTTATTCTTATTCTCACGATTCGACTATTATGAATACATGATGAGATCACATTGAATACATTTTACTTATTTGAATGAGGACTCCTCATCCGATTCGCACGCGTTCGCGCAAGTCCAATTATAAGCTTCTAAAATTTCTCCGCTTTTGATGTCTTAACAAGTATTGACGTTAACTGGCGCTTTGTATTCTATACATGCGTTACAAATGGGGTGAATGATTTTGCCGGAAGTCTCGACTAACAATCAACTGATCTGTGGTAGTAGGAGGGAGGAGGAAAGTCACGTTCAAAAAGCATATTACGATATTGGAGTATAGATTTATTTTCGCTTCTAAGAAGCTTAAATTTCCTAAATAAGCTTTCTCGCTTCCTAAATAAGCTTTCTCGCTTCTGAGAAGCTTGAATTTTTAATTAATAAATCCATTAGATCACTTTAAGTGACAAGCGATAAGTTCCATTGAATCACTTTAAGTGCGATGCATTCTGGACAAAATCGTTGATATCTCCGTTTCTAAGCAAGAACTTCAGATGAGAACCGTTATAATAAAAATTCCGCGAATTTCTGATAAATTATAAATTATATCCTTGAACTAAATTTGTAGAATCATATTGTTGCTAAAAATTATATTCAAATTGAAGCGGAAATTGACGGGGCAAAAATTAAATAATCTCGGCTTGAATCAGTGATACCGCGAAACGTCGTCTTTCTATTTTCAATGGGTTTTTATTTTCAATAGAATGAAATTAGACGCAAGAAAGAATAATGAGATTTTTTCTGTGATTTCGATATCTCTGGAAATTTATCTAATAACAAAAATAAAGTTAAAAAGAAAAAAGTGAGTATATTCGGACAATCTCAGAATATTTTGTGCTGTCTGAAAATGTACTTCATATTTCGAAAACGACTAATTTGTAAATTTATATTTGATGATAAGATTTTTTTATGTGTTTTCGCGAGTTTTATTAGCCAATTTAGATTACATTTAGTTAGAAAACACCTTAGAACACCTAAGTAAACAAGTTAGTAAACAAGTAATGACGGTTGTATTCCTTACCTTGAAAAAATAAATCGTCCAGTCCGGTTGTAGATTTTTTTTTAACGTAACTGTGAAGTCGTTGGTGTCTTTTTGGCCGAAAATGGAGAAGAAAAGATACTCCGTGATATTGATCGGATTAACTCTCACTGTACAGACAGAGAAGAAACTCGATAAATCAAACAAATCTTGTCAATGAATCTCAATCGTATCATACGTAACTACGCACTATTAAAAATCGTAGCGTTTGAGTTTGGTTTGCTCCTATTCTAATGCAGTGGTGTAGTACGATACGTTTTTTCGGCTAGCTTTTATAATTAATCATTCTTACTCCGCATATATATTGTCATTATAATCGCAACTTTCAGACTACACCACTGCCGGCAATAAAATGAATCGTGTTATCTATTCGTCGTCATATCCTGATTACAAGCAGCAAAAATGTATCTGTATATGCATTTACAGTTCTTCCTCTATTAAACTGTAAAAATTCATGCTGACCATAAATCGACTATGTCGTTCTTTGTTTCTGTAAAAATTGGTGATCAATCGGCAGAAGAGTCAGCGAACTTTGGAGAACCTAAGAACATGCGATGGGACGAGCAGCGCAATTCGATCTCCACGAATAAACACTGACGATGAGCAAACGGCAAAAGTGTTCACATTCGATACACATATCGGTGAAAAATTCCTAAACGCATTCAAATGCGTGGATGAATGAATGTGGCTTGCAACGTGAGAGCTGCATTTCTGTATACGCACCCTGTGAAAAAACAGAGAAATTAAAAGGAATTTACAGAAATTTACTCTGTAAAATAACGAGCTCCTAGCTAACGAAATCGGGAACGGGTTTTAAGATCGTCGGATCTCCTCTTTCTATTTTCGCTATACTGAGAAACCCATTTTGTTGACTCGAATAAAATTTTTCCTTGGATATAGGCAAACAAATGTTGTAGTTTTAAGAATTAAAATTTGGTTCTTTGCACTTTTTTCATTTTCATTTCAAGGAGCCAAACTTTGGTGCTCGCAACCAAAACATTTATTTGCCCATATCCAAATAAGAATGTTGTTTGAGTAAACTAAACAGGTTTCTTCGTGTATGCACGAGCAAGTGTTAGACGTAAATAGGAAGTAGTAAGAGCGAATTTAAGATTCTTAGACCAAAGTTCCAATCTGAAAAATTAAAATTGTCCATCGTGCAGAAATGAATCCCTTTGAATTCCTTTTAATCGAACTATTTTTCTCAGGTATTATACATTCACACATGATGCATGCCAATTGAACATCGCGCAACGTGCGAATGATCGAACAGTGTGAGTGATGCCCATCGACTCGTATATATTATAACCGTTCTCTAAAACGTATCAACGAACATAGTACGTTACATGCTACACATTGAACATGTGGTGATTCGTGTGTATGTAATGACGTGAGCAATTCGAAGGCAATTCTAAATTGTGATATCGTGGCTCTGCGCAGCCATTTCGCGTACATACATATATCCTACGGATATCCATCGAACGCTGATATTACGCCATGAAATATTACGTGAGCAACATGATGCAGGCATAATGATCGGTGCGTGCATCGTTGCGAGAAAAAGAGAGAGAGAGAGAGAGAAAAAGAGAACGAGAGGAAGAGAAAAAGTCGTTACATAATTACGCTTTATGTATGCATTTATACGTATATGTAAATATATATATATATATATATGTATATATGTATATATGTCGTACAACGCATAATCAAAAAAGAGAACATTCCAAGTGGGAGAGAGAGAGAAAAAAAATGTATATTATTAAGATAATGCAATATATGACTAACCGTCAAACGTGACGTGGAACGATTCCTATGCATACGGCTATTCCCCATGGTAGCCTCTAAAACGTGGTATATTTAATCGATTAGACCGTGGATCACGGGGAGCGGGTGATCTCTGCTAGCTAATAACTGTACAAGCAAGGCGAAGTCGAACTAGGCGTTTATTCGAAAAGAAAGAAAATATATTGACACAAGGGCCACCGCACGTGTCGTTGCGCGTCCTCGCGCACGCATATGTACAAAAATTAATCGCGCGATCTCGAGCGCATCTTGGATGAAGAGCATCTTGGAGAAGAGGAAAACGAGGGCGGCTTTCGCGACCTCTCTTCCGTGAGAACTATAGTACGCTGGTCGGCGAGTGATCTTTGGCGATTTCCGTTTTCCTTCCTTCAGGCCCCGGGCAGTCCCGACTTCTCGGTGACGCTCGACGATCCCTCCAAGGCCGCCAATGGATTCATCTCCGTCGATTCCTTCTCTCCGGCTGGCTTCTCCACTTCCTGCTCGCCGTAGAGGTCTCTGTACTTGCGCCTGACGACCTCCCAGTCGATGACGTTGTCGATCCTGACGGTGTTGCTGAAGGACAACTGACTGCCGAGGGGGCTCAGGTGGACGACCGACAAGGCCACGCTGTCTTTGTGGCCGACCTGCGTGTTCTTCTTCACTTTGGACAGCCACTTGGCGCCCATCCTGGAACGAGGGGACATACGGCCGCCGCCCATCAGATGCATCAGGGAGGGTCGTTGCTGTTTCTTGGCCATGCGCTTCTTGCAGAGCTTGCAGAAGTACGAGATCCACGAGGACAGGAGGTTGAGCGGGGACGGTGCCGTGGTGGTCCTGCACGGAGAATTGATTCGATTATCGCGACGCGTCCGCAAGTTCAGCTCCTTCCTCACATTCCTTGCTCTCATTGCAACGTTCATGCAACATTCTTCTTCTTGTCCCTTCTTTCGTCTTTAATTCTAGATATCATTTGTTCTCTTACCTGTTCATGTTTCGCACGAGCTTGCTCAATCCGTATTTCCACTCGATGTCCGACTGCGCCTGTATTCGCTGATAGGTGTCGCTCATCATAGCGATCAGGAGATTAATAAGCACCACCACCGACACCAACATATAAATGCCGAAGGCGAGCTTGAAGAGCACGGTCGTCCAGGAGGGCTGATTCTTTTCCATCTTGAAGTTATCGTGGGTCGTCTGACCGAAGATGGCGAAGAACAACAACTCGACCGCGGTTATGGGATTCATGCTGACTGTAAATACGCGTCAACAATGCGTGTCTCGTAAAAGGCGTCTGGTAAATGCGCGCGAGTGCATGCGGTCTTTATGCAAAAAAGATTCTCTGGCACCGTTTGGGGTACGGCGGGAGAGGGGCGGATACATGCTAGAACGTACTTCGGTACTATCGAACGTTGAATGGAGGATCGAATTGAAGCCATACAAGGTAATATGCTGCACATGTTGCACCGATTCCTATATTCTGCCGCAGAGGAGATCCAAGTGCCCTGAACGAGACACACTTTCATCTAGGGGGTACCATTTCTAGTTCTAAGCGCATAAGACAACAGACACCGGGAGGAGATCGTGATGTGTGTTAACGTGCAATTATCCCGAATATGGTAAATATCCAAAGGACGTCTGAGTGATCGGTACGTCTCCGCGACGTTCGTTTCGTATAGAACGCCTTTATACGTTTGTTTCGTCAGGGACATCTCTTTTTCTTTACAAACCGCCGCGGCCCCGAGCATTAATGGAAGTTAACTGACCTCGATAGACGGAGAGAGAGAGAGAGAGAGAAAGAGAAAGAAAGAAAGACGCGTCCTCCTCCATCGAGCCGCAGATCCGTAGACCCGCAGTCGAGTTTCATTCAACTTCAATTAACGCCCGCAATGACTGCTGGTTACGACGGGAAACGACGTAGTCGCAACGAGTCGACCGGGAATTTACATTCAGCATCCTACGAATGGTATGAGACGCGCGATGTGCCGCGAATGTATGAACCCAACAACAACGATAACAACAACAACAACAATAATCAATAAAGCGAGCCGCGAGCGATCGGATGTGGCGGACGATTCATGGGCGATTCGGCATTCGCAGGCATCTGGCCATGACGTGTGGCGAAGAGGGTGGTGGTGATGGCGATGGTGGTGGTGGTGGTGGTCGTGTCGGGTCGGGCGAGATTGCTCCGTACTCATTAACGTCGCGCAAACAACACCAATTACGCGTCTCCTACGAAACTCACGAATCACGCCGTGAATTTTACTTACTCAGATGTTTAAACGTTAGAGGGCTGTAGCTCGCCGGCGCGAGGATCGCTCGAGGATCCCCCGTAAGATGCTCTCGCTCGATCGTCTCTCGGGATTTGTCTCGGTGGTAGCGAATCACGATTATCGCGAAACCGTTCACGGGAAGAGGTTCTACCCCTTAGCGCACTGTTAAGTCCGTCTAAGTGAGAAGGATCGTGCCGCGACTCAAGTCGCTCGTTTGCTCGCGCTTGCGAGCTCACATTTTCGGCCGCTGCCGCTGCGTTTTCTTTCTCTCCTTCTACTTCTTTTTTTTTTTTCTTTGTTCCCGTGGCAGACTCGTGTGTGCTTCAGCGTTCGGCGAGGACAAGGTGAACGATCTTTACATGGGCGGTGTCGGGACCGTCGATGGTACCGTCGAGGGGTTGGCGGCGTTCGTCGGCCCGTTCTCGTCCTCGTTCTCGTCCTCATCGCCCTTCTCCTCCTTCTCCGCCTCCTTCTCGGGTTCGTTCCCGGTCAGGGCGAGATACTTCTTCCTGATCGAGTCCCAGTCTACCACGTTCTCTATTCTGGTCGCGCTATTGAAGGACAACTGACTGCCCAACGGGCTGAGGTGCACCACCGAGAGGGTCACGCTGTCCTTCGGACGGACCTGACCCTTCTTAACCTTGGCCAACCACTTGGCGCCCATCTTCGATCTGGGCGACAAACGGCCGGCGCGCTGCAGCCCCATCATGTGCACCAACGAGGGTCGCTTGCGTCTAGCGGCGCGCTGCTTGCACAGCTTGATGAAGTATACGGTCCAGGTGGTGAGCAAGTTTAGCGGGGACGGAGCTGTGGTGGTTCTGCAACACGCAATCGCGTTTCCGACACACGGAATGCTCCGTTAACTCCCCGGGAAGCTTAGAGCGAGCTACTTTTTTCGAGGGGACCGCGGTGGAGCGCGGCGACACGAGGAGACGTAAGGTTTATACGTAATTACACGTGCAAAAGATCACGACGCTGCGGCACACGCAACATACACACACACCGTTCGTCCTTGTTCGCGCGTGAGAGACGCGGCGGGGGTGGTTGAGGGCCGAAGGGGAAAGAGAGCGCGGATTTCGTGTGGGCGTGAAAGTATAACGCTATTCTATTTATAAACGTCGGCGGTTCGCCGAGCAGTCGAGCGAGTGAAGGGAAAGATAATGGGGATTTCTCAGCTACTTTAAGCCAGATAGCCATCGGTTATCATCGGGATGCTTATCGCAGGCGCGTGTTAGATTCTCGTGGCCGGGCCGCGCTATTAAAACGACTTACGAAAAGGGCATATATCGCGTCTTTCAAGAAGGTCGCAGGCTTACCTGTGCATGTTACGGATCAGTTTACTGAGCCCGTATTTCCACTCAATGTCCGACTGCGCCTGTATCCGTTGATAAGTGTCGCTCATCATGGCGATCAGCAGATTAATCAACACCACTACCGAGACCAACATGTACACGCCGAAGGTCAACTTGAAGAGGACCGCGGTCCACTGCGGCTGATTGACCTCGACCTTCAGCTCGCCGTGGGTGGTTTGGCCGAAGACGGCGAAGAACAGATATTCGAAGGCGAGCACCGGATTCATCTTTACTGGAATTACGAGGCACACACCACACACACACACACAAGATGTTTCTTGCTTGCTCTATTAACGGACCGATCGTTCCGCTTCTTTTTTTACTTTTTTTTTTTTGTTGCTCTTTAGCCCATTGCTCATTTCGTGCTCATTGCAGACCATTGCTACTACTGGTGGGGTAAGTAATAACTTGCTCGCTATTGTATGTGGATGCGCGCGTGAGGTTTCCATAATACTGTACATAACGTACGTAATGAACGATCCAGCGAGCGAGCGAGCGAGCGAGCGGACGAACGAACGATCGAACGAACGAGCGAGCGAGCGAACGAACGAACGAACGGACGAACGAACGAGCAAACGGAGGAACGAGAACATGCTCATGCTTTGATATAGACTCTGGCCATGCTCGGGCTGCAGTTGCGGACTAACGCCGGCTAATGCATGCCGCGCGACCTTCTTATTGCGGGTCGAGCACATTTCAACTTCTCTCTTGGTTCCGTCGCTCTGACACGTTAACACGTGCCTCGCTTTTACATCCGACTAGGATACGAATCGCTTCGCGTCTTCCTTTCGGCAATGTGTACGCTTTCTTTTTTCTAGATTCGCCGTGCATTTCTTTTGAATGGTGACGCACTTTTAAATATCGATGCGCTCTTTCCCAAGGCAGCCAGGTGGTGTCCAACAAGGGGCATTCGTCGAACAATCGTGCGTTCCGTGCTGAATGAGAGAAAGAGAAGGGCGGGAGGACGCGAGAGTGGAGATTTTTGAAACACACCGCACATACGTTTGCAGTGGGGGGGGGGGGGGCGGGGG